CAACCTCCGACGAGGACTGGTCACTCCTTGGCTTTGGGCAAACTGGACCAGCGGGATTGTCAGCATTCAACTGGCAGGCAATAATGGTGCCATGTTTTTAGAACAGTCGGTGCAGCCGGTGCCATTTATAAACAGCGTTGCTTTACGAGAACGACCGGCGCGGGATGATGGCGGAGATATTTCTGCCAGTTTGACCATTGCCATGGATATTACCAACTGCCAGTATTTCTGCCAGTTTTGTGGTAAAACTGAAGTGGAGGCGTTCAAAGATGATCTGCCGGGTTTCTGAATCTGGACGCGACTGGGACTGGGAGAGATACGTAATCAGTCTGGGTCTACTTTTCCCTCTACATGTCCAAAAATATCCAAAATCCCGGCAAAAGAAATGAAAAAACAATAGAAAGAAACATGTCCCACGAAAAGGCACGTATCCTTTCTAAAAGCCAACAGGGCAGCTGGGCTGTTTACCCATCACTGCTGTCCAGTTTCCGCCAAATAACCCCAGGCATTGCGTTGGCCCCGGGAATTTGCGATGGCTTGGATGAGCCCCGTGGTGACGCCATACTTCTGACCCAGCAATTTGCCGTCCTGAGTTGCGTTAGAAGAGTCCCCGTGGATCGGGTGGGGTGAAGATATGTAAACTATCAGTATATTTTGTATGTATCATGTATAGATACATATAGATAGACGTATATTATGTTTAATTGTATATGTATATGATGTTTCCGTGTGTATATATATATATGTGTACATGTGTCATGTCTTTGATTTGTCTATTTATCTATGGCTTTCTGAATGAACCAACGAAAACGGATTTCAGCCAACCATGTAGGTAGATGATGGTAGAAGTCTGACATGATGGCGTGCCTATATGACATGAACCGATTCAATATGACTAGTTAACATATTATTGTTTAGTGGTCAATATTGTTAAATGCAAATATTACAAATGACTAATTAATGACTTGTTAGTGTTTGCAACAAATTCACCAGTTGTAAATATATGTTACAGCCATGCTACCCTTAATTCCTGAGTCATCATTTTCTTCATTAAGATGGTTATCAAAGTGGGTATCCCATATATTTTCAGACCCGTTTGGCTGTAGTTCAAACTTGTCCCCTCATTTTAATGGATGGTTCATACTTGGAGGATCATCCCACTTAGTAAGTGGTTAGCCAGCCTGGTTCGTAAGTGCCCTAACTAGGTTTATCCTGTTCCTTAAGTGAGTAATCACCTCACTTACCAACCACTTGCTAAATGGGATGACCCTACAAGTAGAATTGACCAGCCACTGCAAAGTGGTTCCCGCCAGGTCTTCACTTCCCCTTCCCGGGGTTCCATCCAATACGTCGTCACACTGCCTTTACCTCAGTGGCAAGGGAAAGGGATCACAAACCATGGAAGTCACAACGGACGGCTTGGAAACAGAGCGCGGCTTCTTTATTTTAAAGGATGGCAGGTTGTAGACTCATTCATCATACATTATCATACATTATCTTGATGCTTCAGAGTCTATTGAAATTCATACCACAACTAATAGTGTTCAAAGGTCTTAGCCCTCGACAGGTCCATGCCAACAACTGATGTAACTTTCGGAGGTGTTGGATTTAGTGCTTCTGAATTGATATGATGGACAGGATCGTATAGCTGTTAAATATATAGATATACACGTATAATCTGTTATTTATATGGGTATGGGTCAATACCTGTAGATACATTTTTAGTGGGATGAACATCCATAAATCCCAGCTATTTTGATGTGAACAGAAGGGGTACAAGGTTTTGACACACTGCCATATGATGTACAAGTATAGTTGTATATGTACCAACTGCCAACTACTATATATGATGCTGCATATAGCATATTTTACATACTCGTGATACTATCATAGCCAATATCTACAGTATTTTTACATCCATCCATCCATCCGTCCGTCCATTCATCCATCCATATACTTTCAATGTATACATATCGCAGGCATGTACATGTATGTGTACATATGATCATATCTAAGTGTATTAAAAATATATATATATATATTATATCTGACTCTCTCTCTCTCTCTCTTTCTCTCTCTCTCTATATATATATATATGTATAGTCTATATACATGTTACTGAGCACCATGGCAGACTCACTAATGGCGCAGCCCATTTGTTTTAAAATCACCATGACACCCACGACAGCGAGGTGATGCCAGCCCTCAGAGAGTGTGCTGATGTTGAATCCGCGGAGATAATTTCCTGCAGAGGCGATATACCTTCAGCCTTCAATGGCTATGGGATATTTCAATGAATTTTGAATTGACTGTTCCATGGGAATTCAAGGGAGCCAAGAAATTTTTGGATTAGTGATGACTAAATGATTTAAATGATTGACTCTTCATGACTCTTCAATGAGAATTCAATGGATTTGAATGGAGTTTAACTGATTCTATTACGAATGGATGATAATTCACACATCTGGGATAGGAATATTTTGGCAGTCCCCATACGAAAAGCTTTAGTGGTGAGGTCGCAGTGCCTTGGTTTTTGCATATTTTGCTGGTTTGTTTATGGCTTCATAAACCGCACCCAGGATATCTATGGGATACTCAATCTATGGGATATCTATGGGAGAATCTTCACGATCATGATTTAAAAACACAATGATTTATAGAACCAACTATCGATGGTGCTGCAAAATGTGAGAGGCGCTTGGGCCTCTAAGGAGAAGGTGTATCACTCTAATGATGGTGTAGAAAAATAGACTTAGACCCAACCAATGGCTGTCTTTTCGTGGCCATTGGAACCGAGATAACGGAGATATAATGGACATGTGATGGGAGACCAAGAATATGACATTTGGGTTGTTACCTGAAAATGGGGCCCACCAACAATCATGGTCATTTCGTTGGAAAAAATTGTAAGCAGTGAATTTTTGGGACCATATCTTGAGACAACCAGATATTGTTTTGTAAGACAAAACTTGCGGCTCAAACAATGAAAAATGAGTTAACAATAGTGGGAATGCTGTTTAACAAAAACAGTACAGTGTGAGATTTGCAATGAATATTGGAATTCAACCGACCTAACATGGTGATGTGAATCAAAGAAAATTTGGAGATATGAACAAATTATGTGAAGAGTGGTTCAGTGGATTGAGTGAGGGATTTGGGTTACATGAAACCAGTGTGTTTGCCCAATCAATTAATTAGATGATGTTGGTCCAAACATGGCAAATTCAAGTACCTTCTGGTTATTTGACATAGCCATGGAGCATCACCATTTTTAATAGGTAAACCTGTATAAATGGACCATTTCCCATGACTATGTTAAATAACCAAAACGGGGATGCAAACCAACAAGGCTATATGGACCAACACAGAGTGCTGATTAAATCGGTGTGGGTGATCATCACTTTACTTTATCATCAACCCCCCCTAAGTGGAGATTCAATACTCTCAGCTCTCAATTTCCGGGAAAGGAGCAGCCACCTCCCCCAGTACTAAACTAGTACTAAAGTACATAGAACTCAGGTAGCCTAGGCTACCTTTCGTGACATGGCCAGCCACAAAGCAACAAAAAACACGAACAACTGCTATGAAGTGGAGGTTTAAACACCAAACATCAGGATACACCTCTATATATATATATATATAATACATAGTCGTGAAAAAAAAAACGGGTTTCTGATGAAGTTTATTTTGGTTAGGAAGAATCATTTCAGTACCGATATCACTTTCTAGTGGACCAGTCTGCATATTGAGACTCATATTTACATGTTATATATATATATATATCCTGTCCGTATGAAAACTGTATACATATGGACCCATACAATGTATATATATATATGTATAATTCCAATCAACTATACATACGTTACATTACATCACATTCCATTCCATTCCATTGCATTACATTACATTACATTACACTACATTACATTACATATATATATATACGTATATACACATACATGACAAAAAAACAGGCATAATGTTCAGTCGGTATATCAATAATGTATATACATTTTTCATTTTTTTCATATAAATAAATTAATAAAAACAAAATTTATCAATTTGAGAAAACCATACCAAACATCCTTCGGAAAAAATCCGTCTCCCACCTTCCGCGATGTTACGCAGCTTGCCGCGCACCAGCGCCACCATGACGCGCTCCTCCGCGCTGCCGCCGTCCAGCAGGTGCCGGGCCGAGGCCCGGGCACCACCGTGGATCGGCGCCAGGATCCAGCAGCTCAACGTCCAGCCCGACTCATGCAACGTCACCGGCTTGGGAAGGAGTAAACAACCGTCTTCCTGGGGAACAAATGGATCTGATATGGCTGAGTTTGTTGGGGGATGGGTGAATTTATTGGTGAGATGGGTGAATATGGGGGAATTCTTGGTGCAAAAGGAAATCACCATAAATACCTTCAAAAATTGCGTTTTGGTGCTGTAAAAGTATTGAGGTGGGGAGTCGTGGGTTTGTCTGCGAATGATGGGACAACTTCAAAATGCAGTGGTTAACTGTTTCATTTTCCCCATCAAATTTGCCATAAGTTGGGGGGGTAGACTCCATTTTCAAACATACCCAGGTGGGCAATAGTATGCCCACCAACAGTTGCAAATTAAACTATGATTTCTTGGTAGTTTCTTGAGATTTTTCGCCAAGTGGCCCATCTAATCCCAGGCAGTGGCGAATTTCGGATAGTGACCAGGGGAGACCCAGGTCTCGAAATCCGTGCGCTGGACATGGACAAGCCCAAGCATTTAGTAAAATACATATGTCTATACAAAGAGATATGGGGGTTTCCATAAATGGGGGTACCCCAAAATGGATGGTTTATAAGGGAAATCCTATTGAAATGGATGATTTAGGGGTACCCCCATTTATGGAAACCCTCATATAGATGAATAGTGCAGCTGACTGTAGTGGTGAATGTGTCCTGACCTTGGTATTGGAATGCTAAAAGATCCTAGCCAACCAACCAACCAACCAACCAACCAACCAAAACCAAACCAAACATTTTTCATTTTTTCATTTCACGCATAAAAGGGTCTATCCCTTGCTGCAGCAATTGCAATTCCAAATTACTAATTCACAAAAACTCACCAGCTAGTGCCCCCGTTGGAAATCTGGTAGCCAACACGTCCCTTCACGGATGGCTTCGCACGCTTGTCGTGCCTCTTGGATCCAACGCTGGAGCTCTGTGCAATCAGCCTCAAGTGCCGCGTGGTGCAAACGGCCTGTACGTAGGCTGACATCTAGCTGGTCAGTGATGACCTGTGCCAGACCCGCACAAAAACGTGCTGGGTATTCCTTGTGCTGGCTGGTGCGGAAAGTTCCATCCAAATGTCTTCCTATCGCGACCTCTGTGGGCCTCATCAAAGAGCGATCGGCCTGCTTGTAGAGGGATGCGATGAAGGTCGGCAAGCGCAACGCCAATAGGCTAGTAGGTTTGGGAACCGACGCTCCGAATGGCCATTGAGGCACCACGTGCAGTGCCACATCTGGATGCTTCCGCATGAGTTCCATCCAAGGCGAAGTCCACATGGATGGGCGCGTCTCGTCCTTCGGCGGGGCTGGGTGCTCGCTGACAAAGAAGCCGCCCTTCACCAGCTGTAGCGCAAGGAGTAATGTGCCTTGAAGGAAGAAGCTGGATCCAACCCATAGCTGCTCAATTTCACGCTTGGAAAGAGCCGGCAAGCCCAATAAACGGTCGCTTGATCGCAATGGGCGGGGTTGTTTGACCTGTTGTTGCTGGTGTCCTTCCACATCTTCCTGTAGAGGCTGGAATCTGGCTTCACTGAAGGTTTCACAAGGGGTGCCAGCCAATGTGGCCGACACCCATCCCTTCTCATAGCACTGGAGGAGTTGGCTCCAAGATGTCGACTGGCATGATAAGTTACCATACGTCACAGAGATAGCCGTATCCATGGACAAAACTGTGACGTCGACGTTGCGTTGCTGAGCCCACATAGCAATGCATTGGTGTACATCTCCTTGCCTCCTTCTTCCAGAGAAGATGTGCACAATCAGGAAGTGTTTCCTCCCCGCCAGCGTCTGATAAATCGGTGTCGTGACCTCATCCGGGAGAGTCTTCCACTGCATTTGTCTTATCGCTCGGAGCCAGTCAGCCTGTTCATGAAACAGCGAAGGGACCTTCTGCTGCGTGGCTCGTCTCTCACGAGGGTTGGCAGTGCCTTCTCTCACTGGTCGGTGCGGAACAGGTGCTGCCTGCGCGTCTGTCTCAATGCGGTTGAGCTTCTGCTTGAGAAATGCTATTCGATCAAGGGTCTCTGTTCGCGGGAGCACCTTGTAGATGTCATAGTACACCTCCTCAATAGCGATCTCAATGTCTCCATCCATGACATTCGCCAAGATGTCTGGCAAAACGTGTTGCCCCCACGACAGAAAAACCAGCTCAGTCCACGGTTCAAACCGCTCATCAAATGTGAAAAGCAAGCGCATCCACCAGTCACCCAAATCAGTCATGGGTGCATCAGCACTACAACCTCCTCTAAACTTGTCGATCCAGATGTAGGTGCATTGGGAGAGCTTGTCACTGAGGAGCTGACCTTGTGTAAGATGATCCACAGGCACTACTGGTAGGATTAACTCCTCCTCAAGCGCCAGGATCTCTGCTCTAACTTGTGCCTCTTGGCAAGCATTCTGAGTCGGTCCTTCATGTCGGGGCCCAGCGGCTTGTAAGGAGTCCAGACGAAGGGCTCCACGCAAGGGTCATGCAACCATAGCAATCTGGTATCCTCCTCTAAAGCCCTTGTCGAGCAAAGCTTGATAGCATTGATTGACTCCTCCTCCCCTTGGTATATACGCCAGGTGTTGCTGGAGCCTTGCGCTCGACCAATAAAAGCGCATGCAGTTGGGACAAGTGGCTCCGCAGGTCATTGCGTGCTCCGGTGCGTAAAGCTGATGCGCACGCACTCGGTGAAGTGCAAGGCCTTGTGGAGTGTCAAATTGCCTTCCACATGGACACTTGTGGACCTCCGTCCTTGTTGATTCACCATCGATGCCAAAGTCCGGGTTGAACTCCGCGCCTGCGCGCCTCAAAGTGGTGAAGAATTGTGAATGCAAGACCTGAAGATCACTCATCATATGCTCCTGTGTGGAGGCCATGCGTTCGATGTGCCGCAAAATGCGCTTCCATGGAGTGCACGGTTGCTGCCAGAGGTCAATGATGTTTGTGAAATCTGAGCCCTCTATAGCTGGTAGCCGATCAGGCACAAGAGTGTTTGCCCAACGTAAATCTTCTGCCAAACCGTGCAACCATGAATCCTTGCTGTACTGGAACTCCCCGTGCATCAGGGTCTGAAGGAACTCCGGACCATCGCAAAAGAGTTTGCGTGCATACCGCAATCGGTCCAGAGCCAAGAGCTGGCGTACATCCAAGGTTCCAGCTCTCTTCAGAATCTGCCCATTGGTGCAGGGTGCATCTCCTCTCTGTCGCAGAACGCGCTTCAGCATACTGATGTATGTTGTTCTCAACAGCTGCATTTGCTTCAGAGTGGGGGTTCTCCAGGTTCCCAAGCCATAGAAGAGGCGCGTTTCCACAAACACACGGAATAATCGTAATCGAAGGTCAGTGGGAAAATGTTTGTTGGTGAGGATACTCCTGCCCAGCATGGTCATCGCCTGTTTGGCTTGTCCAATACGTTGTCTGATCTCAACCTCAATGGACTGAGAAGCCGCATAGGTGAAACCCAGATGCTTGTAGTAGGGCTGACAGTGCAGCCAGACGGAGCTCCCATTTGCCAGAGGGCACTCAAATCCTGGCCGCTCTTTCAAAAGAAATTGTCGTCGATGATCTAGGGCTTGTGGCCCTTGAAAGCTCAACACAACGTTCGTCTTGTTAAGCCCATAGTTGACTGTAAACCCATTGGCCGAAAAGCAGGAGTCAACCTTCTGAACAAGTGCTTGTACGGCCGGCAACAGATCCGCCGCACATGCTGCCGCCAAAGGAATGGCAACATCATCAGCCCAAACAATCGTCAAGAGCGGCAGCTGGAACTTGGTCAAAATCTTCATGAAAGCATCATGATCGGCTAGCCAAGAGCGCACGTCCTGGATGATGTGCGTCATGATGACATGAAAGACAGCGTCCGCTAACGGGGAACCTGGACGCGTGCCCCGAGTAGTCCGGACGGCTTCCTGCTGTGTGACCGTGAACCATGTGTCTGTGTGCACGTCACGCAAGATTCTAAGAAGACGATCATCACAGCCCAATGCTTGTAAAACCCCGACAATTCGCAGGCCTGCTTCTTGGGCTTGGAGAGGATGTCCGGCTTCCGCAAGAGCAGCAAGCAAGTGGGTGAAGTCGTCTTCACAGGCCACACCAAGAACAAGTTCTCTCACCAAATGATGAAATGCGCTGGCAAGATCAATGTACAAGACAGCTGTGCTGTATCCTTGCGTCTCCAGAACATGGGTCCACGTAGTAATGGCATGAAATCCAAAATGAACCATCTGTTTGGAAAATCCTCCTAATTGCCCTTCTGCTCGTTTGGGGCTCAACGTGTGCATGAGGGAGCTGCGCAGAAGGCTATGGAAACGTTTTGCCACCGAGGTAAGCAGGAGGATTCCCCTGTAGTTGGCTGCAACCTTTGGGTCGCCTCTCTTGGGTATCAGCGTCATGACCCCTCCTTTGAATTGTATGGGCTCTACACACCAAAGGTGCATCTTCAGGAGAAGAGCATAGTAGAATCGTGCCACCACAGGCGCCTGATCATGGTGCACCCTCGATGGAATTGGGTCTAAGCCCGTTGCTTTGTCCGGCTTTGTGGCACGCAAGGCAGTCTCAAAGCTGGACAGCGATGGTAGGGAACTGGCCGCAACTGTTTGGCCCTGCAGCTCATTCATCGCGGTCAGTTGCCGTTGATGACAGGCGGAAAGAAGTTCAGCTGGTGTGATAACTGTACCCTAGCTGTTCAAGCTGGCAGAGATGTGGTAGCATCTGATGTTCCAGAGCTTCAATGTTAGCCGGTGCAAGGTGCAGTCGTCGCTGCTTGAACTTCGGTAGTGAGCGTCGCAAAATGGACCAAAACCGCTTGACATCTTGAGGGCCTAAAAAGTCAGCTCCTTCAGCGAGCAAGTCCTGAAAGAACACAATGTCATCGCGTCGCAATGCCGCTGTGACCTGGCGGCCCACAGTGCGGAATGCCGCCAGTGCACCGGCGATGAGGACGTCCTGGTTGCTCGTGAGCGTGTCAAAACCTGTAATAGCTTCAGATGCCAATGGTTGCTGCGAATGTTCTCGACCTTTCCATAAGGCAAAGAAAAGCTCCAGCGTCGTCTTGCGCTGACAGGCTGTGTATTGAGCCAACTGGGCTCGTATAGATCACGCTTTGATAACACCAATTGCCAGGTCTCCTCTGACATAGTCTTCTTCACTGGCGTGCGTTTGGCACGGTCTTGCTGGCAGTGGACTGTTCGCACAAGGCTATCCTGCAGCGATGCGGCATGGTCGTGGACATTGGTGTGAAATGGTAGATCCTCGGCCGAGATCAGCTGCGACAAGTCCACCGCTTTGCTGTCGTCAAGCCTGATTTTATGATGTACTGGGAGTTTGCGACCTTCTCGGATCGGGCTAATGAAGGAAATCTCAGCACATGCTGCAAGATGATCTGTTTTGGAGATGGAAGCATCAATGATGTCGCTGATCCAGGCGCTGCATTTGATGGGAGTCCAATCAAGTGGAAGCCCTACAAAGTCGATGCGTCGCTCTGATCCTGAACTGTGTGTCCAGGTCATACCTGGTCCCTCCTGAAAATCTTGAAAAGTGGCAGGCAGCCACAGGTTGTGCTCAACGAGGAAGCTCTCAAAAGGGTCTGCTTTCGGTTCATAGGACCCTGACTGGTGCCCTCCCATGTGGTCAGAGATGTGATGTCCAACACTAGCATTGGCGTCGGTGAGCAGGATCTTGGGCCACTTCTCGTAGATGCGCGGGATGTGCCCAGAAAGTTCTGTCCACCACTCCTGGATCACATCATAGGAGTTTCCTGTATGTGGGGCGTGGCCAACGATGACGATGCATTGTAGGGCCACGGCACTCACTCGCACGATAAGTGCTCTGGGGTCTCCATGAATGACTGCGATGTCTTTTTCACTGAAGTGGAGCTCTTTCTCAATCTGCTTGCCGCCTGCCGTTGCATAAGGGATCTTCTTCGCAAATCCCAAAATGATGCCAAAGTGGCCCTTGGTGTTGGCTGGGTGATGGAATAGGTGATAATCAGCAGATACAAGCTGGTGTTGTCGTCGAAGACGAGTTTCCTGGAACGCAACAATTGTCATGCGTTCTTCACTGGCTTGCTGCAGCAGCATCTGCTGCCTGGCCGGTCCGCTGATACCAACCTCCTGTTCGTCTCGAGCACCACATAATGACAACGCATTGCAGGTTGCCAGGCGCAAATGTGCAACTGCTTCCTGCTCAACCGGATGCTCGCTTTTGGCTCCTAGTAGGTGTTGTGCTAAGATCGGCTCAAGTGGGCTGTCAGGTAGTGGGACTCGCAGTCGATGGCCTTCCCAGTCGGAGCAGAGGCTCCTGTCAAAGAACATCCAGAACCAGTCGGAGGCAGCTAAAAATTCTTTGGTGTTCAGCGCACGTAACCAGTCCGCAGTGGATGTGGGCGGGTTGGCATGTGCTGCTGCTGCTAGTGCATCGACAAGTTCGTTGCCCGGGTGTCCGGCATGTCCTCTGACGTGCCAGTGGTAAATGTCTGAATGGAATCTGGTTTCTATCAGACGGTGGAGATTACGCAGGACCCCTCCAAGCGTTGGATGTTGAAAGCAGTTCCATATTCCACTGGTCTGGCTACCAACAGTGAGTGAATCAAAGCAGAAGTGAATCTGTGGACATCCTTGTTGCATCACTTCATGTAGTTTCAAAACATCATATGCCAGCTTGAGACTAATGGCCGAGGCGAAGTGCTCCGCGTCATACGAGTCTTGGGCAAATGGCAAACTGGTGCTGATGGCTCCCGCAAAATACCATTGTGAACCGATGAGGATGAAGGCTGCAGCAGAAGCAGAGACAGAACGAACTGCCTCACAAGTTTGGCATGAGCCGTCATAATAGATCCACAATTCTTGACCAGGTGTGGCAAAGTCCCACCAATCGGTGGTCCAGGCAAAAGCCACATGCCAAGATTCGATTGCAGGCAACGCCAAATCGGGTAGAAAGAAATGAGCATCAAACAGCTCAAATCGCTGGATTGAATCATGAAAATCAATGTACTGATATGTGGATGATGGGCTTCGATCATGTTCGGGGGGCTGCCGGGTATGAGCCACCTGCCCGGCTATTTGGCGCTCCCCCTGTGTTCGCAGAGAAAGCTGTAAGAAGCTTGGGGCTGTAGCAGGATCACTCTGCAAGCCCAATCCATCATAGTCATCAGCCCAAAAATTTTCCGGCAAACTTCGATGCACATGAAGCAAAAAAGAATAACCGTTACGATTTGGGAAGCGCTGGTGTGGTTGCAATTCAATGGGCCCATGCCAGCAGGTACAAACAGAGGAGGGGCAATGTGGTGGACAGAAGAACCCCTTGCCAGTATGGCGTATAATCTCCTCCTTCAAGACCGCTGCCGGCAGTAGAATTGCTGCCGTGTAGGGTGCTCCACGTAGCACTCCATTGTCGATCGTCGTCACAAGGCTCGGGCATTCAAAGGCTCGTCTTGTTTGTTGTGAGAGGATGATGTGGAGCTCGTGTGGCGTTGCAGCGGTGATGGGAGCAGGCGTCACAATGACGAAATCAACATCTTGATCAGGGTTGATCATGTCTCTCCATCTCGCCACAAGTGAGCGCTCCCACTCCCAGAAGTCTTCCCCAAGGACTGCTGTTCGCTGTTCATCGTTGTGACGGATGTAGCCGCCCTCGAGATACCAGGTCTGGACTCGGAGGATGTGCTCAAGGCCACCTGGTCCCGCTATGGCCGAATCAAGCCAGCGGTCATGCAGTTCTTGGATGAACGCAGAGTGCTCATGTAGAGGTGGGTGTGCTGGTGGAAGTGGTTCAGGTGGCTCGAGATCTGTAGTTGGCAGATCAGGATTGATAACGTCATCCTCTCCAACTCGATCATGGACACTGTCAAGAAGAAATTCTAAACCACTGCCAGCTGGAACCCGTACTGCATCATCAGCACTCCAAACAAGTTCACGCCATTTCAAACGACATCGTCGATTGAGGCATAACCGTGCTAGCTGAAGCAAGTCTCTGGTAGCTTGAAACCGGACAGGGACGGCTAGTAGTGCCGCAGCAAACTTGATCACTTGATGCCCTAGGCCAGCAGACTGGATGGTAAAGTGTACTGGTACTACTGCTTGTGTTTGCACTTGGGCAACAATCAGATGTCCAAGTCGAGCTTGAGTAGGGAGTTCAGCTGGTCTTGGAGTGACCCAGTAAAACTGGGTTGGTTGTGCACGATCAATCACGTCGCGCCACAGATCCCTCAGCTGAGATTCCCATTCATGGTGCTGATCGTCAAGGCGTAGAGTGCGTGACTCTTCAGTGACATATGCTCGCTCACCAGTAAGAAACCAGGTTTCCACAAAGCCAACTTGCCCTTCTTCTTCAACTTCAACTGCAGCGTGCAAGCCAAATGCCTCTCGCAGAGCTGAAAGTCCTGCAGGAAGAAATTGTTGTGCAGCATCATCAGTGTGTGCTGGCCGCTCACCGTCAGTCGAGCGCATAAACTGCGGTGCTTCTTGCAAAGGAGCGTCATTTTTCAGGCTGGTATTTGGTGGTTGCGACTGCAAAAGGAAGAGTGGGATCTTGTGGAAACCAGAGCGTTGTTTGTCTTCGCAATCAATCACTTGTGGCTCCATTGTAGTTTGCAGAAGACCAACAGTCTCCTCTTCCTGGCCGATGTCAGGCGGACGGGCTTCAATGGTGAGTAAATCCCCATCTCCAATCCTGGGAGCGCCCGTTGCTGGGAAGATCTGTCTGCCTCTTCTCACAACTACCTGGAAATTTGAATGTGTCTCTTGCAGTGTTGAAAGTGCATGGGCTGAACTTACCGAAATTCGATTGAGAGTGTAGTGTGCCACAAGATTATACTCTTCCTGCTCATTTGTCGTGATGGCAGTTGAGAGCAAGATCGCAGCATAGTTGGGAATGGGCATCTGGACAACCAGAATATGTCCCGAATGAATCCATGGGTGCCATCTTCTAGGCATCGGGTCCACAAAGTACAGAAAGAATGGAAAACGCCGGTCAGAGTGGTCAATCCAAGCATCTGTAATACTTTGTTCCCATGCTGCTTGGTTCGGGCTCAAACGTACTCTACGTGAGAATGGCATTCGGGGTTCATATTGTCCATTGAGATACCATGTGTCGACATATACTGCTGAACCATCTCGCAGTGCCTGATGCCCATCAGCGTCAATGGCTGTCAGCAGACTGTTGTGCCAGTCAGGTAGCCAGTGTTCATCGACAGGCACAATGGTTTCACTCATTGTAACATTTGCCGTAGAGAAAGTGTTCATGTAGTGCGAGGCATCGGAGAAGGCCTGTGCCAACGCGTCCCTGAGTTCATCCTCATTCATAGCTGCCATTTCGGTAACGTCAAATTCTCTAGGCCGGTTGATGTGCAGTTGGAGTGCAAATCCATGTCGTACTGCGACTCGTTGATATGGTTGTACAACGATCTCCCCAAATCGGAGATGGCAGTCATTCAGTGGCGCTTCGGGCGGGCAGTGTTCACTGAATTCTGCAATCGAGATGATGGATTGCAAGCTGACCCTGTCAGCAGTAACAACTGCGTGTGAATGGGGTCGGCCTCCATCGTACGCCCGATCATATATGGAAAGCACAATAGAGCTCTGTCGCATGTCAGCATGTTGGACCAGTATGAGCTGTGCCACTGCTGTTGGATCCTTGTCTTCAGGGATTGGGTGCACAACGTAGAATTCAACCTCTGATCGAAGATCGATATGGTCGATCCATTCAAGCCGAATCTGCTGCTCCCAGGTTCGGAAGTCAGGACCAAGCCGGACTAACCGGGGGATATGGCAGCGTTGTAGTCGTGCATGATCTGTGAACCAGGTTTCAACTCGTAGCTCTTGTTGGTCGGCAGTTGGGGGCGCGCCCGCAGTAGCCTGATAGTGAGCCTCGTGCAATTGTCGTACAAAAGCAGGAGCAGTTGAGAGATCTGGGAAAGGTGGAGGTCCCTGTGGCAGTTCCTCAGTAAGTTGGCTTCGAGCTCGGATTGCTTGAAGGAACTCTTCTGTGAGGCTGCAGGAGACATTTCCTTGTTGATCTTGTCCTGGTGGCTTGCTTGAGATGAGACATGCCGGCAGCTGTCGGAAAGCAGTTTGCAAGTAGCTCAACTGGTCATGTTCTTCATGCGTAGTGTTGGTCTGTCCTTCCACCTCAGGCGTGTTCTGTTCATTCGTGATCATTGTGTAAAGGCTTTCATCATCAGCTCCATACTGTTGAAAATGTGAAATCAACTGATCACGATCAAAACCCGCTTGACAAGCACGCACAGCGAAGTGTGTCGGGATGGAAGGTTCCTCAAATGGGGGTGCAGCAATGCGTAAGTAGTCACAATGATGTACTTGAAGCAACGCACTTGACTGCTTGGCAACCAGGTTCCCTTGATGCCAAACCAAATATCTGTCCTTTTGCAGCTGGCAGTAAGAAGCAACCCCAGCCAATCGCAAGAGAAACTCTCTGTGGATGTGTGGTGGCACAAAGGTGGTGTAGCGGTCTGTCTCAATGATGGACTCAAAATTGGGCCCATGCAGTTCGAGGTCAATCAACACAGCAATGCGTTCATCTCCATCAAAGAGATCTTCATGCCCTAACAACAGGTATGGATGAACATGGGCTCGATCCAAATCCTGAGGTGTAGGCTTGACAGGGAAAATTTCAGCTACCTGATGGTGAGTGTACCCCAGCAGTCGCCTGGTTTGTGCAAACTTGGCTTCAATTGGTTGCACCTGAACTCTTCCTCGTGCCTGGTTGCCTCTCATATCGAAAACTTGAACAGAATTCCACATGTAGGCTTCTTCAAAGGATTCCGGTGATGTTGGAGGATGTATCTCAAGATCTGAGTCCGTGTAGGAGCTCACCGATGGTGGCCGTTGTGTTGGCACACGTGCCATCAAGCTGATCTCATCAAAGACCTCTGTCACATTCAGGGGTTCAATCGATGCAAAGCCAGTCACTTGGTAAGCTTCTATGAAGTTGCAAAAATGAACTTTGTTGCATGTTTTCGTCAAAGCCGATTTGCGGCAAGAAGATTTGCGCTCAGACATAATCGAACTGGAAGAGGTGGTGATGGGAACGGCCGGTGACGCCGACAAGCAAGAGGCCAGTAGTACTTCTCCTCGAAGATGTACAGCTCGACCCAATGCAGTGAATGTGTCCATGAAGAGGATTGAAGGGTCCCAGATAGCACTGTGACAGGCTGTCAAGGGACAGGTAAAAGACGCCAACAGATCCATGTTGCTTGCTGCACCCCATTCACCAAAGAGGTAGGCATCAGCACCAATGGCCTGTGTTGTGTCGCCATTGCAAGGCCCACGCAACTCATTCTCATTGAGAAGACATGTAGTCTCGCTGCCAATGCTCACATACCAGGCGCACCAGCAGGTGGTCCACCAAATGGTTCGAGCGACCTTTGGCGTTTGTTGGCTGGGGCCGTTGTTTCCTCTGTGTCTGAGATCTCCATCGTCTCTTCCTTTGTTGCCGCCTTGGCACAGGCCTGCAGGACCTGTTGGACTTGGGCAGCCAGGGCTGCTGCTTCTGTGTCTGCATATTTTGTATCCTCGAGCTCTGCCGTCTCCGGATCTGTTTCGTCGTGGCCTGCAGCCTTCTTGTTGAGATCCTCCAAGGTTGCCTTGCCGTGGCCAGGTCTTGCCTGGCCTTTTTGATGAGGCCATTGTAGTTGTGCTGCTGCTCCGAATAGAGCTTGAGTTGCTGTTCCCAGCATTGCACTGATTCGTGCAAATGCTTGAGCCAGCGCTCTCTGTGCTTGGCCTTTGCATCCTTGAGGGCTTGCAACTCCTTGGTGGCGTTCCCGACTGCACTCGATGTCTTGTGAAGACCTGACGTCAATTGCTTTGGCGTAGTCTTCTTTTCTGCCTTGGCCACAGCTAGTTGGATCCTGGCTGGTGCCTTGGTGATGTCGGGGTACTGCTCCTTTACAGCCAACATAAGCTCGATGTCGTTGGCATCTGAGCTCTGTGCCGTTGAAGCCGGCGCAGTAGGGGTCTGCTGTGGGAATGGCGTCGGAAATGCAAGAGTGGTTTCCGGCGATGGCCAAGGTGTGGAAGCGCTCTGGGAAAACGGTGACACCACATCCGTCTTTTTCCCCTTCCCTTTGCCTTTGCCTGCCCTTGCTCTTGCACTCGCGCTCCTCGTCCACGCTTTCTGACCTTGTTTGGCACCTCGCCCCCTCTTCTGGTGGTCGGCTGACCATTCCCATGACCAATCCTCCTGATTGGCATAGGCCCTTGGCGACTTGGGCCTGTTTGAATGGGGAGTGCCTGCGGTCCAGTGCCCTTTGCAGTCCGGACAATGCGCATGTTTTTTGCCGCAAAGCCGTCCGCAAGGACAATTCCATGCGTAGGATTCCATTTCCGTCATGATCTTGTTGATAAAATGTAAATCTCTTGAATGATGTCTGGCCAAAATGAGAACCAGTTGATGCAATTGGGCACAGGAGAGCGGTTGGATTCCAGTGCGATGCCGGTACCAGCGAGCTCGTGCCAATGCTCTCTGCCTTCTTTGCTTCCTCCGCTGCGTCAAACTCAGTGAAGTTGTCAAAGAAGCCGTGGTTCAAATTCACCAAAATGAGGAAGGAGGTCAACACAGACCACATCCACAAATTCAAAATTGTCCAAGTAGTACACCAGCAATACAAGGGGAGCGCGAGGGAAAATTCAACCACGTGCAGGCCCGAGAAAGTTGGGGTACGCAAGGAAATAGATGGAAATGAGGTAAGTGGCCAAGTAAATGGCAGCAGTTACAACAATCCAGAATTGTATTAAATATCAAAGAAAAGAAGCAGTCCCAAAGCAAGTGGCCCAGTGGCAGCAAATGCAATGGAATACCAGTGAAGGCAATGAACACGAAATAAGCCCCAGGCCAAACGGTCCAATGCAAGATCGGGTTTTGGCACAGGTTTAAGCGACGAAGAGGTTCAAGCGACGAAGAACCCGCGGATTCGTCACGTCCGCTAAGGCAAATGGCGACCCAACCTAACCCTTATAGACAGTCAGCGGTCGGGGGGCGGCTAGGGCCGATACCTTGTCGAGGCGAAAGAGCGCCCGTGTGCTAGCGCAAAATAGGCTGCACGCGCTCTTGGCACGAAGCCAGCCTACTCTTCGACCTTCAAATTGGACGCCTCAATTTTAGGACGAGCCCAAAAATCGGTAAGCGCGGAATGACGCTGTTGAGTGATGCCCTCGAGGAGTCTCACCACCGCCTGAGCTCCGGGCTCGCTCTTGCGCACAATGCGCACATGCGGCGCAATTCCTTCTTTCAAGGTCGCCGCTACTCCTTTCGTGCCGGTCACGACACCAAGATGCACGGCATGCGCGACAGCATTATTGGGAAGGAGCTGCGTCGCCGCTGCTCCGCTGTTCCCGCTCTTGCAGTGGTCAAACTGACCATGCAGCACGTAAACACAGTCGCCCCCAGGGGGTATGGACACGGTGAATGGTGCATCCACCCCAAAGGAGGTGTGAGCAATAATGCGCCCGCGCGTATCTTTGGTGAGGCGTGCTGCAGGGGCGAAAGAACTGTCTGCAGACATGTAAATAATGCCGTCTTCGAAGCCTGTACTCGGGCAAGCGTGCAACTCCGGGACAGTGTCCACTTTGGCATCGTATGGCGTCGAATCAATGACGACCTGAAAAGTCTCACCCTTTACCAACGGAGGGAGCTCATTGGCCGTTCCACGGAACGAATGAGCGCTGGAGATGAAATGCTCCCCTGCATCCAAGGCGCAAGCTCTCGAGATAACCACTCCGGACTGACGCAAGACCACGAAAACCTTGGAACGCTGCACAGTATCAAGGAATGTCTGATGGACATCCGACTTGATCGCTTTAGAAACCGCAGGGATGATCGCTGACGTAATATCAGCTTGCGTTCCATCCATGGCAGCTTGCAAACTGTATGCAGTTGCCGCCAAGGCTGCATCTACATTTGGTTTGGCGGCTTTGGCAGCGACAACCTGCTGGCGCCACTCGCCAATCAAACCCTGCTGCCTGGTCTTAGGAGGAATGGGCGCCCTCGTCAATGCGGCATGTGCTTGCGCGGCAGTATCCTTAGCCCATACCAATGCATGGTTCATCTGCTCGGGCTCAGGCTCCGGCATGGATGGTTTCTGACCTTCAGGAGGACGCAAGCCCGTCGCGCAGGAAAGCGACTCATCCAAAGCCTGCTTGTGCATTTTGGCGGTCTCGGCAGCTCTCGCCGAAACCGGAGTACCGCCAACCGGCCCATAAAGCAAACGCAAAAATGAAATCGCGACAAAAAGCACCACATTAGCAGTCACAAGGATAGTGAAGATACCAGAGTGTCGAGAACATTGCACCAACAAGGTGCAACTCAGGCGTCGTGGAGGTCGAGAACACTCTGTACTAAGACTTCTAAATTTATTTATTTTCACATCAGGCACTTAATGAAAATATTAGTAGTTATCTTAACTTATCATAGAAGTCATTTTTACTTATTTTCACTTATTTTCACTTAATTTAGGTTAATTTTTCATTATTTTTTACTTCCTGGGCAGGCAAAAATATGAGCAGTATAATGTTCATGAAAAGCAGTTCTTTCACAAATAAAAAAAATCTCAGTATGATATTTCACCAGAAAAAAAAATGTAGCTTCTTGAGCTTTACGTTTTCCAGGGATTCGCATTTGAAGTTGTTGACAGTCAAATTCTTTAAATTTCTCAAACATTACGATATATTCTAATAGAAAATTTCAGATCAACTCAGTTGAAACTATGCAGAAAAATATTATAAAATATAAAAATATTGCAAATATATATATATATAAATTAAGTTTGAGACATTCAGAGTAATAAGAAATCTGAGAAACAATACACACCACTCAAAAAAAGATTGTAATAGAAATAAATGGAGAAAAGTAACTTACTGAGAAAATTTATAATGCTTAAACATACAGAAGGTAACAAATTTATTATTTATAATGTATATACGTCAGAAAATTTTGAAAATGAGAAAATGTAGAAAATGAAGAAAATATTGAAAATGTTGAAAAGTCGGAAAAAACAAAAAAATCAGAAAATGTAGAAAATTTAAAAAATTCAGAAGAGTCAGAAAATTTAAAAAAATCTAAAATTCATAAAATTCAGAAAATTCAGAAAAATCAGAAAATTTAGAAATTTAGAAGATTCAGAAAATTCAGAAATTTCAGAAATTTTAGAAATTCAGAAGATTCAGAAAATTCAGAAATTTCAGAAATTTTAGAAATTCAGAAAATTCAGAAAATTCAGAAATTTCAGATATATATATATATATAAATATATTAAATTCAGAAAATTCAGAAAATTTAGAAAAAAACAGAAAATTCAGAAAATTCAGATAATTAAAAAAAACAAAAAAAATATGAAAATTCTGAAATTCAAAAAATTCAAAAATTTCAGAAAATCCAGAGAATTTAGGAAATTTAGATAATTCGAAAAAAAATCGCAATATTCAGAAATATATATATATATACATAGATATATAAAATTTAGAAAATTTAGAAAGTTCCAAAAAAATAGAACATTCCGAAAATGCAGATAATTTTTAGAAAATTATGAAAATGTGAAAAATATGAAAATCAATGACCAAAATGTATATAAAAATATAAATTTAGAAAAATAGTAAAATATGAACATTTTTATAACATGTTCAATAAAGTTAAAGTTTTAAAACTATAGAAAGTAAGAAAGTGAGTAAATTCATCATATGTAAATATGTTAAATTTAATATAAATTAGAGCATAAAAAGAAACAATATTTTTAACAATATTTAGATATGTATGATTTATATAATAGCAACTAGGAGAGAATGCAAAAAACAAATTGAGAACGAACATATTTGGAAAATACGGAAACACAAACAACTATGAAACAATAGGTAGTAAACAAAATATATCTTTAGACTCTATTCAAGACTATATTAATGTTGAAAACTGACAAAAAACATATTTTTACTTATTTTCGCTTCTTTTCCCTTATTTCAACTTATTTTTGAATAATATTCCACTATATTTACTTATATGTTCATTATTATGTTACAAGTTCACCTAAACGATTAGTGGAACTTAAAACAAAAAAATAAAAAAAACAATTTAAACAAGATATTAGCAAGATAATAGCAACTTATAATATACTTATAACTTCATTAAGTGCCTGATGTGAAAATAAATAAATTTAGAAGTCTTAGTAAGGAGATTCCCCAGAAAATGCCAGAGCCATGGTCATGATGGCACCGTAGCGAGCAAGTATCGTCAGTGCAATGGCTACAATGATGATAGCTCCCTCTTGCTGCGCTGGAGCATCCGCTGATGGGTAGACAGCTACAAAGAGTTCATACCACGAGATCAGGTCGACAGGGCTGAACATGGCGGAATGAACTCTTCCCACCACATTTTTGCGATTGATATCAATGGGTCCTGACAAGTAAAAGAACAGGACGAGCATTGGGCCCACAAGCGCGAAAGTTGCAAACGTTTCCGTGAAGGCCAGTGCGATACAGCCAGCCATGATAGCCAAGAGGGAAACATAACCATTGACCGTAGTCAATGAAATTTCCACGCACACGAGAGTACAGGGACCCGGATCATTTTGAAACACCGGATAAGGCTCATTTTGAAACACAGAGGATAAGGATCATTTCGAAACACAAAAGCCCCGGATAAGGATCATTTTGAAACACATCCAAGATACTGCTGTTTAAGACATCTGGAAGGCATAGCATTTCTTTGTAACCACCATGGCGCTTGTAACACCACAGCACATTGATGAAACCCTAGCAAATCAGCTCTTCAAACAAAAACAATCAAAAAAACAAGTTAGCTCTTACAAGGAGATTCATCCCTATCATAAATGCAATGTGACCGCAAAAGGCTTGAGTCTTTTCCCGTCAGCCATCTATTTGTGGCAGCTTTGTCCGGCAATTCATGAGGATCTCGTTCGAGACACGTATCAAAAAAAAATAAAAATGCATCACAAAAAATATCCAGCACGCATCAAAAAAAAATATATATGCATCAAAAAAAATATCCAGGTGCCACTGTGTGAGACCTCACGGGTTTCGTGCTGCAAACCTAGATCAAAAAAAATATCCGTATCAAAAAAAATATCATAGTAGTAGTAGGAGGAGTAGTAGTAGTAGTAGCAGTAGTAGTAGTAGTAATAGTAGTAGTAGTAGTAGTACTAGTAGTAGTAGTACTAGTAGTAGTAGTAGTAGCAGTAGTAGCAGCATTAGCAGCAGTAGTAGCAGCAGCAGCAGTAGTAGTAGTCGTAGTCGTAGTCGTAGTCGTAGTGGTAGTAGTAGTAGTAGTAGTCGTCGTCGTCGTCGTAGTAGTAGTAGTCGTAGTAGGAGTAGTAGGAGTAGTAGGAG